ATCATCGTCATCGTCATCATCAGCATCGTCATCGTCATCATTATCATCAGCATAAGCATCAGCATCAACATCATCTTCATCATCATCACCACCATTATGCTCGTCCGCATCATCATCATCATCATCATCATCATCATCAGCATCATCATCATCATCATCATCATCGCCATCGCCATCAGCATCATCATCATCAGCTTCAACATAAGCATCAGCGTCAGCATGAAAATCGGGGTCTGCATCATTAGACTCAGCATCAGCATCAGCATCAGCATCATCAGCCTCATCAACAGTATCAGCATCAGCATCAGCAGCAGCAGCATCATCATCCTCACCTTCATCATCATGCTCACCATAAGCATAATCAGAATACTCGCCATCATCGTCACCAGCACCAGCACCAGCATAATCCTCATCCTCATCCTCATCCTCCTCCTCATCATCATCGTCATCATCATCATGATCAGCATCAGCATCAGCAGCATCCTCATAATCAGCATCACCACCATCATCCTCATCCGCATCACCATCACCAGCAGCAACATCAGTATCAGCATCAGCATACTAATTACCCTGCGACGTACCCAACCCATGTGCATCAAGTGGCAAGAGGAGTAGGCCAACACCAGCAGGAACAACGACAGTGCAGACGTGGTGAATTGCTGCGCCAACTACATGGGATGCGCATGCGTTGCACGACTCACAGGACGACGATCGAAAGAACGAGGATCGAGGCCCCAAGCTCGAAGCGTAACGGGGACAGGAACGAGGGGCAGGAGAAGGATGGAATGGGGGGTAATCTGAATCTGCGTATGACCCCACTCCGCTGGGCCCCCCAGCAGCCCTCGCAAGTGGCGACAGCTTCGCAGATCGTAGCCCCCCCCCCAGGATGACGAGGTCTAATCTGAATCTGCGTATGACCCCACTCCGCTGACCCCCCCCCAACAGTCCTCGAACGCGGTGACAGTTTCGCAGATCGCAGCCCCTCAGGGATGGCGAGGTCGAATCTGAATCCGCGCATGACACCGCTCCTCTGCCCCCCCCCCCCACCCCCACCAGCAGCCCTCGAAAGTGGTGACGGTTTCGCAGATCGCCCCCCAGGGATGGCGAGGTCTAATCTGAATCTGCGCATGACCCCACTCAGCTGCCCCCCCCCCCCCCCAGCAGCCCCCGGAAGTGGCGACAGAGTCGCAGATCGCAGCTCCCCAAGGATTGCGAGGTCTAATCTGAATCTGCGCATGACCCCACTCCCCCCCCCCCCCACCCCCCCCCCCCCCCCCCCCCCCCCCCCCCCCCCCAGGAGCCCCCCCAGGGATGGCGAGGTCGAATCTGATCTGCTCTGCCCCCCCCCGCCCCCCACCCCCCCCCGAGGATGACGAGCATATAATCTCGGGCCCCCACTCCGCTGGGCCCCCAGCAGCCCCCGAAAGTGGCGACAGTTTCACAGATCGCAGCCCCCCAGGGATGGCGAGGTCTAATCTGAATCTGCGTATGACCCCACTCCGCTGGGCCCCCCAGCAGCCCTCGAAAGTGGTGGACAGTTTCACAGATCGCAGCCCCCCAGGGATGGCGAGGAGCAGCCCCCCAGGGATGGCGAGGTCTAATCTGAATCTGCGTATGACCCCACTCCGCTGCCCCCCAGCAGCCCTCGACAGTGGTGACAGTTTCACAGATTGCAGCCCCCTCAGGGATGGCGAGGTCTAATCTGAATCTGCGTATAACCCCACTCCGCTGGGCCCCCATCAGTCCTCGAAGGTGGTGTCAGTTTCGCAGATCGCAACACCGCAGGGACGGCGAGGTCTAATCTGAATATGCGCATGACCCCCCTCCGCTGCCCCCCCCCCCCCCCCCACAGCCCTCGAAAGTGGTGACAGTTTCACAGATTGCAGCCCCCTCAGGGATGGCGAGGTCTAAGCTGAATCTGCGCATGACCCCGCTCCCCTGGGCATCCCAGCAACCCTCGAAACTGGTAACAGTTTCGCAGCTCGCAGCCCCCCCCCCCAGGGATGGCGAGGTCCAATCTGAATCTGCGTATGACCCCACTCCGCTGGGCCTCCCAGCGGCCCTCGAACGTGGTGACAGATTCGCAGATCGCAGCCCTCCTGGGATGGCGAGGTCTAATATGAACCTGCGTATGACCCCACTCCGCTGGGCACCCTAGCAGCCCTAGAAAGTGGCGACAGATTCGCAGATCGCAGCCCCCCCAAGGAAGGCGAGGTCTAATCTGAATCTGCGCATGACCCCACTCCGCTGAGCCCCCCCCCCCCCCAGCAGCCCTAGAACGTGGCGACAGTTTCGCAGATCGCAGCCCCCCAATGATGGCGATGTTTAATCTGAATCTGCGTATGATCCCACTCCGCTGGGTCCCCCAGCAGCCCTCGAACGTGGTGGCAGTTTCGCAGATCGCAGCCCCTCAGGGATGGCGAGGTCGAATCTGAATATGCGTGTGACCACACTCCGCTGCCCCCCCCCCCCAGCAGCCCTAGAAAGTGGCGACAGTTTCGCAGATCGCAGCCCCCCAGCGATGGCGAGGTTTAATATGAATCTGCGTATGACCCCACTCCGCTGGGTCCCCCAGCAGCCCTCGAACGTGGCAACAGATTCGCAGATCGCAGAAGCAAGCTGGCACGCAGCAACGAGCGAGGTAAGAAGCAGGGGAGAGAGGAGAGGAGAGGAGTCGCGACCGCAGCTGTTCTGTTCAAAACGAGAACCCAACGCAGCAGGGTTGGGAATACTGATCATCGTCATCATCAGCAGCATCAGCATAATCGTCATCATCCTCATCATACTCATCAGTTTCATCATCATCGCCATCATCATCAGCCGCATCATCGTCACGATCATGATTGTCAGCATCGTCGCCATCATCATCATCATCATCATCATCATCATCATCATCATCATCAGCAGCAGCAGCAGCAGCATCGTCATCATCCTCACCACCATCAGCAGCATCAGCATCAGCATCATCATCAGCATCATAATCAGCATCATTGTCATCAGCATCATCAACCGAATCATCATCATCATCGACCTCATCAGCATCAGCATCACCATCATTACCATCACCATCATCATCACCACCACCAGAACCCGCACACTCGTCATTATCATCCTCATCATCATCATCAGCGGCATCAGCATCAGCATCAGCATCAGCATTATCAGCATCTCTATAATCACCGTATAATCATCATCGCAACCATCATCCTCATCCGCATCCTCATCCAAATCATAATCATCATCAGCATCAACACCAGCATCAGCATCAGCATACAAATCAGAATCATCGTCATCATCAGCATCGTCAACATCATCAGCATCATAATCAGCATCATCATGGCCATCACCATCATCATTAGCAGCATCAGCCTCACCATCATCATGATCAGCACCAGCAGCATCATCATCAGAAGCAGCAGCATCATCAGCATCACAATCATAATCATCATCAGCCTCAGAATCCTCAGAATCATCATCACCATCATCATCAGCATCACCATCACAGCCCCCATCACTATCATCAGAATCATCACCCGAGTCATCATCATCATCATCATCATCACCATCATCAGCATCATCATCATCATCATTATCATCATCATCATCATCATCATCATCATCATCATCATCATCATCATCAGCACCATCATGATCATCATCAGCATCATCATCATCATCATCATCATCATCATCATCATCGCCATCACCATCATCATCCTCCTCATTATGAACAGCATCTTCATCATCAACATCATCATCATCACCATCGACATTGTCAGCAGTATCATCACCAGCACAAGCACCAGCAGAATCCTCATCATCGTCATCATCGCCATCAGCATCAGCATCATCGTCATAATCAGTATCACCACCACCATCCTCATCCTCATCATCATCTGCAACCGCAACATCAGCATCAGCATCAGAAGAAAAATAGAAATTATCATCATCAGTATCGTCAGCAGCATCATCATCATCATCATCGCCATCATCATCAGCAGCATCATCACAATCATGATCGCCATCATCATCGCCATCATCATCATCAGCATCATCATCAGCATCAGCATCATCAGCATCAGCATCGTCATCATCACCATCATCATCACCAACACCATCAGCAGCATCATCATCGGCATCAGCATCATCATTATCAGTATCATCATGACCATAATCACCAATAAAATCCTCATCATTGGCATCATCAGCATCACCAGCAGTATCATCACCATCATCAGCACCACCACCAGCAGAATCCGCATCCTCATCCTCATCATCATCAGCATCACCACCAGCATCAGCATCAGCATAAAAATCATAATCATCGTCATCATCAGCATCATCAGCATCATCAGCATCATCATCGTCATCATCATCAGCATCATCATCATCCTGATCATCATCAGCATCAGCAGCCTCATCATCTTCATCATCAGCAGCATCATCATCAGCATCATCATCATCATCATCATCATCGTCATCATCATCATCATCATCATCATCATCATCATCAGCATCATCATCATCATCATCTTCATCCTCATCATCATCATCATCATCATCATATTCATCATCAGCAGCATCACCATGACCGTCACCGACCCCGGCATCATCATCACCATCACCATCATCATCGCCACCATCATCACCACCATCACCATCACCATCACCATCACCATCACCATCACCATCCTCATCAACCTCATCATCATCATAATCATCATCATGATCATCATCGTCATCATCATCATCATCATCATCGTCAGCAGCATCATCATAGCCATCATCACCATCATCATCATCACCATCAACATCACCACCAGCATCATCCGCATCAGCATCAGTCTCATTAGCATCATCCTCATCAGCATCATCATCATCCTCATAAGCATCATCAGCATCAGCATCATCATCATCATCAGCATCATCATCCGCATCATCCTCCTGCTCCCCGTCGTCGACTCAGCACCCGCCTCGTCCTCCCGCTCCTCCCCGCGGTCCTGCGGCAGTACCCGGCGAAGTCCACCAGCAGCGTGAGCTTGCCTGCGGCCTCCCTCACCTGCCCGCGCCCCCTGGTTGGGGTCAGGAGGGGCGGGGCTCCTCGCGCTGGGCAGCGCACGGCGCCAAAGACAGGCGCCGTTAGGATAGGATCGGATAGGACAGCGCCCAATAGGATAGGATAGGATAGGATAGGATAGGATAGGACAGGATAGGACAGGATAGGATATGATAGAACGGCGCCCAAGACTGGTCTTCGGGGGAAAGGCCAAGCCCGCTGATTAAACAAACACCTGAGTGCTGCATCGCTTACTCTGTCAGCACCGCTGCGAGTGGCAACATCTCACGGCGAAGGAAGGGGCGGGGAGGGGGGCCCACGTGGGTGCGCGTGTGAGACGTTGTGTCCCCTGGGGCCCTAGAAATCGGGCTCCCCGCACCGTAAGGCAGACCTCTCTCGGCCAAGGTCTCGAGATTATTTGGGAGCCTTCCATGAAAGACATCGCGCCGCAATGAGAAGCAGTGAGCAGCCTTCTCCCCACCCCCCTCCCCTCCAGAGGAGGAGGAAGGGGGAAAGTTGCTCCTGATCCTCTCCGCCTCTGCTGAACGGTGGAATACGAAGCAGGGGTGCCAATCATCTTCAGCACCTTGCGCCGTCGTATCCCATCTCCTGCTCCTCTTCCTCTCATGCCAATCGCCACCTCGTATTTCAGGTCCTCGTCCTCGTTCTCACCCTTCCCGTCGCAATCCGTTGTGACGTGGGCCCTCGGGACACTCGACCCCGTCCCTCGGGCGGATGGTCGTGGGGGGTGGCCTAAATGGAGGATGCAGAAAAGGGCACCTTGAGGTCTCTTTGGGTGGTAATGGGGGGTGAAAAAAACGATTGAAATCCCCCTCCTTCACCACCAGTTACAGAAAGGCTCGACCACAAGAAAACTTCCATCAGAAACCCAACCCTGAGACCCCAGGACGTCAACTGAGTTTTCGACTGGGAGTGGTCACGCTCCCCACCGCAAAACCATCGAAACCGAAGAAGCTCAGGGCACCTTGAAGGCAAGCAGGGTGTTTATCGGCATGGGCTTCCACTGCAAATCGCCCTCCATTACCGGTTATAGGGGATGGGCAAACCCCCCTTTAGAAAAAGGTGGGTTAGTGGTTATGTTAACGGAATTCCCCACATAAGGTGGTACGGGCATGGCGGGATCACGCAGGCAGCATCGGCAACGGCATCATCATCCGCCGCGTCATCGTCAGCATAGACATGCTGGGCCATGCTCATTATCATTAAACCATCATGGTCAGCACCAGCATCCTGATCATTATTGTCATCATCATAACTGTTGTGGTCGTCAGCATCGACATCGCCACGGTCGTCATCAACATCACCATCACCATCATGATCATCATCAGCATCAGCTTCATCATCAGCATCGTCGTCATCGCCGTCGTCAGCTTCATCATGATCATCTCCACCATCATCACCCTCAACCAGTCCTCATCGCCGACCGTCCCCTCCTCCTCGCTCAGGCGGGGCCTCCCTGGAGGGGTGGGAGGGACACGAAACCTTGTAAATAGTATGGCTGTGGGATACCCTCCTTGCTCAGGCGGGGCCTCCCTGGAAGGGTGGGAAGGGCACGACACCTTGTAAATAGTAAATAGTATGGTTGTGGGATACCCTCCTCGCTCAGGCGGGGCCTCCCTGGACGGGTGGGAGGGGCACGAAACCTTGTAACTAGCATGGTTTGGGGATATCCTCCTCGCTGAGGCGGGGCCTCCCTGGAGGAGTGGGAAAAGCACGAAACCTGGGAGGGGCACGAAACCGTGTAAATAGACGGGTTTGGGGATACCCTCCTCGCCCAGGCGGGGCCCCCCTAGAGGGGTGGGATGGGCACGACACCTTGTAAATAGTATGGCTTGGGGATACCCTCCTCGCTCCAGCGGGGCCTCCCTGGACGGGTGGGAGGGGCACGAAACCTTGTAAATAGTATGGCTGTGGGATACCCTCCTTGCTCAGGGTGGGGGGGGGCTCCCTGGAAGGGTGAGAGGGGCACGAAACCTTGTAAACAGTATAGTTTTTGGATGCCCTCCTCGCTCAGGCGGGGCCTCCCTGCAGGGGTGGGAGGGGCACGAAACCTTGCACATAGTATGGTTGTAGGATACCCTCCTCGCTGAGGCGGGGCCTCCCTGGACGGGTGGGAGGGCCACGAAACTTTGCAAATAGTATGGTTTAGGGGATATCCTCCTCGCTCGGGCGGGGCCTGCCTGGAGGGCTGGGAGGGGCACGAAAGTTGCAAATAGTATGGTTTTGGGATACCCTTCACGCTCAGGCGGGGCCTCCCTGGACGGGTGGGAGAGGCACGAAACATTGTAAATAGAAGGGTTCGGGGATACCCTCCTCGCTCAGGCGGGGCCTGACTAGAGGGCTGGGGGGGGCACGAAACCTTGAAAATACTATGGTTTGGGGGTGCCCTCCTCGCTCAGGCGGGGCCTCCCTGGAGGGGTGGGAGGGGTACCAACCCTTGTAAATATTATGGTTTTGGGATACCCTCCTCGCTCAGGCGGGGCCTGCCTAGAGGGCTGGCAGGGGCACGAAACCTTGTGAATAGCTTGGGGATGCCCTCCTCGCTCAGGCGGGGCCTGCCTAGAGGGCTGAGAGGAGCACGAAACCCTGCAAATAGTATGGTTTAGGGATACCCCCTGGAGGGCTGGGAGGGGCACGAAACCTGATATCTAGTACGATTTGCGAATACGGTGTGTATGATATGGCAGGTAATGCATATTATAATACGTATGGTATGGTAGGGGATGGCAGATAATACGATAGGTATGGTATGGCAGGTATGGTATAGTATAGTACGTATAGTATAGTACGTATGGTATGGTATGGTATGGTATGGTATGGTATGATATGGTATGGTATGGTATGGTATGGTATGGTATGGTATGGTAGAGTACGTAATAGTATAGTACGTCTGGTTTTGGTAGGGTATGGCAGGTGTGGCATGGTATAGGTGAAGGAAGCGGAGAAGGAGGAGAAGGACAAGGAGAAGGAGAGGGTGGTCTAGGAAAACGAAAACCCCACTCAGGATGTGGAAAAAAACGACCTCGGACGCAAACCTGGCCGGCTAGAGCCTGGAAACTGACGGCCGCGGCGCCCTCTCGAGAACCGAAAACGGACAATTCACTAGTCGACGTGCCAGGTGTCAGGGTGGGGGTTCTGTCCACCCCCGAACTTACCACCCGCCCGACACACTGGGGCCGGCCGCCCACACTAAGCCTGGCGCTTAGACGGGCCCAGTGGCCGCGAAACCGCCCTCGGGAGCCGAAAACGTTCGAACACCAGCCGTCGAGTTTTTGAGTTGACGCCTGGATCTGAAGGGAAACAGCTCGATGACCCTCCCTACTTAGGACGAAGCCAGGGCGAGGATACCATCGTGTGACGATAAATCGAGGAGCTCTGGGATCCGGCGGCTCTGGAGGATGTCTCGGGCGCTGCGGCCTTCCCGGAGCCTTCCGCAACGCTCTGAGAGCGTTCTGGAACGCTTTGAACGAATATAGTTTCGTCCTAACCCTGCCAGAATATCTTCCCTGCTGGCCTTAGACTTTAGATCTCGATCCCGAGCCTGTCCCAGGGGTGCGTTCTGGCCAGAACTTCGGCGCGAGTCTGGCTGGAAGGCGCCCCAGAAGGTCCAAGATCTCCAAAGCGAATCTCGCCCCTAGCACATCCTTGGCGCGACCGAAATGGGAACGGAAACAGTGCCAGGATGGGCTCGGGAAGCTGGATTGGAATCGGAATCCCGTCGGATCGTTTGGAATCAAGACCAGATTAGCAACTACAGAAATCGAAGACACAAGCTCAAGTCGGAATCGAATCAGACATTGTTTATGGAGTCAGATCGATACAAGCGGATGTTGTGCCAAACCGACAGCGGGCGCTGTTGGACAGGCGACTTTTGCCCGAAATGAACAGGATCTGCGGAGACAACCAGTAGCTGGCCCCATTCAGAACGGACAGGAACTGCTTACGGTCTTCTGGCGCTACGCACACGGGGTAGGGGAGGGGGGAAGGCTTCTTAGAAGGAGGCTGCTTCTTAGAAGGCACCGGCCCCACATCTGCAGAGGTTGCCCGCGCCTGCTACGAAGCAGGGGTGCTTCCAGAAAGCTTTCTCCCTTCCCCCTACCCCACTCTGCACGTGGCCGACCCACTCTTTCCGTCCCCATCTGGATCCCCCTGATGTACGCGCCCTCCGCGGCCCCCCCCCAGCGCCTCCGCCTCCGCCTCGCCGAACGAGTCACGCTGGGCTCTCGCGTCCTCCTCGCGCTTCTCTAGGCACGCCACCGCGCGCTCCACGCAGTAGACCACGTGGCGGATGGTCGCCAGGTGGCACCCCGAGTCCCGGCCGCCGAGCTTGACCACCTGTCGATGAAGGCTCGACGACCCCTGCCGTCTGCAGGATCCTCCACGAATTTTATCCAGATGAGTCTGGGCATCTCTGGATTTTACCTCGATCTCTCGGTAGGCTTGCATCGAGCTGCATCGGTGTGCACCAACTTCTCTGGCTTGATCCCCGCGAGTCGATGGGAGAAGGGTCGACTGGCCCTCAGGGACACCCTGGTGCGATGAGGGAGCCCTCCTCCCTCCTCACTCATCCTCATGCTCCTCCTCCCCCCTCTCTCCTCTCCTCTCCCTTCCTCCTTATCCCTCCCTCCTCATCATTCCCTCCTCAACTTCCTCCTTCTCCTCCTCCTCCTCCTCCTCCTCCTCCTCCTCCTCCTTCTCCTCCTCCGTATCCCTCCCTCCTCCCCCGCCTCCTCATCCTCATCCTCATGACCGGTGTTATCATCATCATCATCATCATCATCATCATCATCATCATCATCATCATCATCATCATCATCATCATCATCATCATCATCATCATCATCATCATCATCATCATCATCATCATCATCATCATCATCATCATCATCATCAAGCATCATCATCATCAGCACCAGCATCAGCATCAGTATCAGCATCAGCATCAGCACACACCACCACCACCACCACCACCACCACATCATCATCATCATCATCATCATCATCATCATCATCATCATCATCATCATCATCATCATCATCATCATCATCATCATCATCATCATCATCATCATCATCATCATCATCATCCACCTCTCTTCCACCCACCAACTCCTCATCCTCCTCACGCCTGAGGTTGTTCCTCGATTTCGGTGTCTGAGAATATTGCCCCCATCGTACGTGAAGACCACATCCCAGAAATAATTTCGAGCACCTGGAAAAGTGTCGAAAGAGTGTCGAAAAAGTGTCGAACGAGTGTATCCCAGGGCCCAAAACGTGAAAACCCTAGAGTTTCGGTCTTTTTTTGGTGCTCGAAATTATTTCTGGTGATCAAGGCTCAAGTAGGAGGGAACATGATAAGCTTCTGAGACCATGCTCCCTGTCCACCCTGATGATCAGCATGCAAGCGCGGTACGATGCACACAGCGCGTTGTTTTCTCAAGGCCGCTGCAGCAGAGGATCCTCACGGTGCCGTCGATCGCTCTCCATTGGCTCCTGCCTACACACGTCCACTCCTCGACCCGTACTAGGCTTAGGTCGAGCGTGTCCCCCTACAGGGGAATGTTGGGCGAAACACATATTAAACAAATACTCAAAAAATCGTCCCCTGACTATTTTTCGGCTATTGTCGAATATTCCTCCTGTATAAGCCCTGGGGCCGTCAAATATCGGCCTGGGGTGAAACAACCTGCCAGGGTAAGCAGAATTTGGAGTATGACTTCAAAGATCCAGGGTTGAGGTTCATCCCCAGAAAAGTGCTTGCACTCAAGGGATTCTCACCTGGGCTCAAGTGACTGGATGGATGGGCTAGGGTTTCGCCACGTGCCAAGCCAGAGTCGCTACCGGGGGCCTGAAGTCTACTCTTTGAATGTTCCTCCTTCTCCTCCTCCTCTTCTTCCTCCTCCTCCTCCCTTTCACCATCATCCTGCCTCCATTACCTCCTCGTCCCCCTCCCCCGCCCCTGCGCGCACGCGCAAACGCCGCGCCCGAAAAAAGGATTGCCGCACTCTGCCGGCCGAGCAAGCATAGATCGGCGCTGGCCGGACAACGGCCCCGTCCCTCCCCTGCGCGCACGCGCAAGCGCCGCGCCCGCAAAGGAGGTTGTCACACTCTGCCGGCCGAACGCGCATAGATCGGCGTTGGCCGGGCAACGGCCCCGTCCCTGCGAGGGAACGTCTTCTCACCCATGCGCAGGTTGCCAGCGCCATAGGCTTCCCCCCCGCTCCTTACCCCCTCTTGTTCTTTCTCTTTCTGTTCCCCGCGTCCCGCACTCCCCTGTCTCATGCTCCTCCTCCTCCTCCTCCTCCTCCTCCTCCTCCTCCTCCTCCTCCTCTTCCTGTTGCTCCCCCTCCTCCTCCTCCTTCTCATCCCCCGCTTGATCCTCTTTCTCCTTCTCCTCCTCCTCCTCCTCTTCCCCCTCCTCCTCCTCCTCCTCCTCCTCCTCCTCCTCGTCCTAGCGAACAGGGTCGGCGGCAACGCCCAGAAACCCTTCGCAATCTGCTCACTCGTGCGCAGATTGCCAGCGCGGCTCTGGATTCCGGAGGCACGCCCCGGAGGGAAGCAGAAGGGGCGGGCCTTCCCAGAGGGCTCAGAGTTAGCTCGGGCGTGTCCCCCTACAGGAGGATTTTGAGCGAGAAAGCAAATATACTCAAAAGATAGACCAAAATAGTCAAAACATAGTATAAGTCGTCCCCTGACTATCTTTTGACTATTTTTGAATATTCTTCCTGTAGAAGGACGCGCTCGACCTAAGCTCAGAGAGTACCAGACCTTCTAAAAAAGCCCGCCGGAGCCGTCTCCGAGGGCAGAGAGGACTTCTCAGAGGGCCGGCGGGCCTCTGAGAAGCCTCGCCGCCTTCTGAGAAGGCCTGCCTCATCCCAATTCCCCCCCCTCCGCCTTATGTAGAGGGCAAGAAATCCACCCCCATAATAACCACCCCGACAAGCGAGGCCATTTAGTAAACACGCCCAAAGAAGGACTCGAACGGGGCAAGGCTGTTTCGTAAACGCCCAAGGCCGTTTATTAAACGCCAGTGTCCGGTCCGGGTGGTTTTGCCTCCCTTGGTTCTGAGAAGGCCTGCCTCCCGATGGTAAAAATCAGAAGTATGAGAGGTATGTGCTGGTTGCGTGCGGGAAACATACAGCCGGACTTGCAGCGCGGGCGCGGTCGCAGGAAACCATCGCAAGAAACCCAACCCTGAAAGCCTGCTCGCGAGGTGCACCTTCAGGGAAAACACGGAGCACGCCGAGATCAGGCTCTCATTTGACGGCTGCGGCAGTCACCGCGCAGCGCGCGGAGCGAAGAAACCCAGGGTACCCGAACGAAAAGTAGATGGTATCTTAATGTGCGCCCCCACTGTAGGACAGAAGAACATCCTTCAAGAGCACGAGACCCTCCTCCAGCCATAACACACAGAACATCCAGGCAGGGGTCTCCCCAGGACGCACAAGGGCAGTCAACAAGCACGAAGAACAGAAGGGCAGCCTCCGAGCCGGCCTCGATCTGAAACCTCGGTCCGACCGTATCAATACACACATTCCGCCACGACGGACAGCTCTCCAAGGGCGACAGGCGCACCGTCCGACGGTCAAACAAAGGTACGAAAGGTATGTGCACGTTGTGTGCGGGGGACATATCCATATATATATATACATATATACATATATATATATATATATATATATATATATATGTACACACGCTCCGGCACGACGGACAGCTCTCCAAGGGCGAGCAGGTGGCACATAGGCCACCATAACCTTGGCGCCCGCTCTGGCCACTGCTGCCTCGTCCGAGTGGAGAACGAGACGGGCGGCCGCTCAGTCCCCTGAGGCTCTCCACCCACAGAACACCTACGTACAGACTCTTTCCGTCGGCGGCGAAGCAGCAAAGGCAATCCGCTCCAGCGTGCGGCCATTCGGAGCAAGCGACATGATGCGAATGGTCCGGCGTGCAAGAAGAAGGAACAGAAGACGAAGGCGGCCGCGCGGGGGGAAGGGGAGGGGAACAAAAACTCTGACGTAGAAGAGTTCCGCGTCGAGCAGGCCAGAGCGGCCAACCGAGGCAGCGGTAACCGTGGCAGCAGCTGGGGCCGAGGCGAGGGCGCACCCACGGGCGCTGCCAGGCCGCAGTGACGAAGGCGAGCAATCAGGAACCGGTCCAGGAGCCTGAGCACTACCAACAGCAAAATGTTGTGTCCACCAGGAGCGCCGACTGTATGGTGCTGCGGCCCAAGCGCAGCGTCCGCGGCGGGGCGGTACGTACAGACACACGGTGGCCCACAAAGCGGGATGCCCGCACTCCCTAACGACCTCCCCGAATTCAAGACATGTCCACACCCACGGCCTCGCGGCCTGGACTCATCGGCCACGGCCCCGTGCATGCAAGGCAGAGCGGCTCTGCGGAGACTGCCCCGCGCGGAGCGTATCCACGGGATCGCGCACCCCTGGGATCGTGCCTCGGTGCACCTCTCGAGTGTCAAGTGCACTCTGAACGGCCAAGTGTTTGAGGTGCACGTCGCAAAGAAACGGACTCTGTACGCGATTGTTCAGCGTTCGGTGTGGGCTTCTGACTTCTTAGACAGATGTTTCCGACTACTCAGAAAACATGTTAGGGTGCCCTTCTATGTTCAGATACGCGCATGTCGCTCGAAGGAGGGAACGGAGGGGACAGAGTGGAGAGGTGAGCAGCAGAGGCAGAATCGGATAAAGTGCACCCTCACGATGGCGCTATACACATGCCCAGAAAAATAGCACGGTGAAAAGATCAACCACGTAAAAACGTTCAAATGCACATCTGCGTTCAACATAGAGACGTATAGAGTGCAAGTCCGTGTTTAGGTCTGGTGAGTGGTACTTTGTCCCTGAAGGGGCGCCGTGCCATCTAAATACTGCATGTTCACCGTATAGAAGGTTAACAAACCACAAACCAAGCCGCCGGAGTCGCCCCCGTTTTACTTCGGCTGCCTTTCGCCGACCTTCCGCCGCCTCCAGCCGAGGAAGGGATGACAGCTCCTTCGATCTCCGAAGGCGAAGATCGGTGCTGCTGGGCCTGCCTCGTAGCACCCCTGCTTCCGAAAGCATTCCGATCGCCCCGCCACCAGCATCGGCCGCCCACGACGGTCGTAGCCCCGCACATACATCCGCCACCGCGCTGCGCTGCGCTTGTAGGCATCCTCTACCTCATCCTATTTCTCCTATTCCTCCTCCTCCTCCGCCTCCTCCTTCTCCTCCTTCTCATCATTATCCTTCTCCTCCTCCTCCTCCTCCTCCTCCTCCTCCTCCTCCTACCCGTTGTTCCTTCCTCCTCCTCCTCCTCCTCCTCATCCTCCTCCTCCTCCTCCTCCTCCTCCTACCCGTTGTCCCTCCTTCTCCTCCTCCTCCTCATCCTCCTCCTCCGTCTCCTCCTCCTTCTCCTCCTCCTCCCTCCGCCGCCGCCGCCGACGGCGACGGCGCTGGCGGCGGAGGACGAGAAGGACGCACATGCCGCGATCCTGGCCAGGCTCACCCTGATCCTTGGCCGGGCCAGAAAAACACATACACCGATCCTGGGAGCAGCAGGGGCATGGCCTCCTTTTTTCTTCATCAGAACTGCTCCTCACGCGACACATCAACAGGAGATCTCCAGCGCGCAGTGGCAAATACGCCACCAAAACCAACCGATCAACATCCTAACAATGGTCGGACGTATACAGAAAGATCGTGCTCCTCCAGCTAATCCCGAGCGTGCCAACGGTGTGCCCGGTTTCTGTTCTCGACGCGGACCCCCAGGACCCAACCCATTCCAGGGGTCGAACCCTGGTGGCCCTAGCGAACCAGCAACGGCCCCAGGGACGCTTAAAATGCGGATAAGCACGTGCAGAAATGTTTCGCAACGCGGGGATGTCTGGCGAGGGAGGGAGGTGGGGGAGAAGGATGATCCCGAAACGCGGGGCCCCGACCTCCTAACCTGGGGCGTGACAGCCCCAATCTACGACTTTGTGGGAGTTTCGACTGGGCCCAAAAGTTTGCGGCCATACTTTGTGATTTACGAGGGGGGCGTCCATTCTCGACTTGGGTGCGTCCAGACAGTCCCCAGGGGGTGTATCCCAGAGTGGCCCCTCTCTTCGCAGCGGCCAATTCATGGGGGGGGACTCGGGGATCGGGGGGAGATACAGTGGAGGCCCGACTACAAGAAACCTTCCACAGGAAACCCAACCCTGAGACCCCAGGACTTCCATTGATTGCTTTTTGGTGTGGGAGCGTCACGCCTTCCGCAGCACAAGACCATGGAAACCCGAGGAACCCAGGGCGCTCTGGAGGCAAGCAGGGTGGTTCTTGGCATGGGCCCCCACTGTAGCGCCTTTGACCTCCGACGCCGCCATCGTTGTTTCTCGACGCAGGACCTCGACACTCCAGCTCCCTCCGACTTTGGAACGAGCGTTAGGTCGAACGTGTCCCCCTACAGGCGGATATTGGACGAAACATAAAAAATAGTCACAAGAATACCCCAAACATGCTCAACCATACTTTAGAAATAGTCCCCCAGCTATTTTATACTATTTCCCCCTGTGCGCAGAGGGACAGGCCGACTCTACTCGAGCGCCCATCGTTCGTGGTCTCTTCGCGACGCGGGGAGGCCCCCGGGGACTCTGGAGTGCGAGACCGCCGAAGCGCAAATTCCGTCGTCTGGATGCGGCACCCCACCAGCCTGGCGGCTCCTCCTCTGCCTCCTCCTCCTCCTCCTCCTCCTCCTCCTCCTCCTCCTCCTCCTCCTCCTCCTCCTCCTCCTCCTCCTTCCTCATCCCTCCTCCTCCTCCCCCTTCCTCCTCCTTCCTCCTCCTCCCTCCTCCTCCCTCCTCCCTCCTGGAGCTGGACCCCATTCAGCGCCACGCAGGCGCTGACGGATGAACACGGCAATGGTGAGAACATTCAGCACGGCCGCCAGGGAGCTCTGAGAGCAAAATGCACAGGGACGCCTGGAGACGGAGCGGCCGGGACGCGTCCACCCGCACAGAGCAGTCCAGCGAACGAGGCCTGGGGAGGGACAGAGCCTACAGCCACTACGCCACCCAGAGACACGCTGAAAAAAGAACGACGGGGCTTCTCACTGGCCCTGGCCATTGCTCGGACGTCCATTCCCCGTGCATGTTTCGATTTCATGTGTGTATCATTTCGCAAGATGGCCAAAGATCGTCCTCGATGGTACTCGCCACGAAAGATGCACATGTCTGAGCGATGCCAAGGGCCACGGCGACGCTGGGCCACGAACAGGTAAGAGGTTCCCCAGCCAAGAGAGCCAGGGCCCCTCCGGAACCCACAGTGGTCCTCATTTCAGCGTCTTGACTGTAGAGGGCACCGATGCCGCCCAAAAAAGGGCGCCTCTTCGGAGCCCAAGACTCAGGAGGGCGAGCGCGATGCTTCTGGAGTCTGTGCGCCTAGTTGCGGATATTCGTGATCAATAGGGGCGAAGGGTATCGCCACCACCACCACCACCACACGAGGCCTTCCAAATGGACTCCGAGCAGAGGGAGTCGGAGGATTGCACCGCATCGCCGACGCATCGGCGATGCGTCGGCGACGCGGTGCATCGGCGCCATCGGCGTGGGGAAGATCGGGCTCCGCATCGAACTGTTTTCAGACCCCAAAAATATTCTAAGAACAAGAACGATGTTCTTAGAACAGAAACCAGATGTGTTAAAACAAGACAGTCCCAGCCATATATATTATAAGGACATGTCGTGGAAACCACAAAAAGTTCTTAGAACATTCTTTGTTAGGCCTATAAGCGAGCCAGGACGCTTCGCCACTGCTAGACCAGCACCACCACCACTATCGCGAGGATCCAGGGATGGCGCAATTTTACCAAGGCCCGGCTGGGCGCCCGGACGCCCGGACGCCCGGGCGCCCGGACGCCTGCACGCCCGGGCGCCCGGCGGGCCAGGCCCAGGCGACAGAACTGCCCAGGGCGCCCGCGCCCGGACGCCCGGACGCCCGGACGCCCGGGCGCCCAGACGCCTGGGCGCCCAGACTGGGCGCCTGAAGCGCCCTGGCGCACGAACGCCCTGGGCGCCAAAGCGCCCGGGCGCCCGGGGCCGGACGCCCGGGGCCAGGCGCCCGGGCGACCGGGCGCCCGGCGGGCCCCGGCGGGCCACGCCCAGGAAACGCCTCGACGCTGGGTGCTAGCGCCCAGGGCGCCCTGGCGCCCGGACGCCCGGACGCCCAGACGCCCAGACGCCCGGGCGCCCGCGCGCGCGGACGCCCGCGGGCGCTCGGACGAGCGAACCGCGCAGACGCCTGGGAGCCCGGACGCCCGGACGCCCGGGCGCCCGGACGCAGCGCCCAGACGCGCGGGCGCCTGGGCGCCTGGGCGCCCAGACGCCCGGACACCGGACACCGGACACCGGGGCGCCCGGACTCCGAGGGCGTGCGCGAACCGCCCAGACGCCTGGGCGCCTGGGCGCCCGGGCGGTCGCGCCCAGACGCCCGCGCGCCTGAAACGCCCAGACGCCCGGGCGCCTGAGCGCCCGGGCGCCCGGACGCGCGGGCGCCACAAGCGCCGGGAACGCCCGCGCCCGGGCGCCCGGACGCCCGGGCGCCCCGGAAACGCCCGGACGCTGGGAGCGCCCAGGGCGCCCGCGCCCGGACGCCCGGACGCCCGGGCGCCCAGGCGCCTGCTTCGGCAACTTGCTCTGTTAGACAGTTGCAATTCGAATTGCATCTCGGTTAAGCCACGTTGCAAGCTGCGCAACCTGTCCTGCAAACTTTCCAAGTACAGGCAAATAGATGTCAAACGGCGTTGACTTATATGCGACTTGCACTGCGTTGCGACGGAAGCATGTGAATTGCATCTACGCCTCATGTAGTTAGCAACCATGTTGCAAATCGTAGAAAAAACTTACCAGAACTTAGCGTGCACTTACCAAAACTTAGCTGCACTTACCAAAACTTAGCTGCACTTACCAAAACTTAGCATCACCGCCGCGACATATTGCCATGCGAGCACATGCACAGACCCATATGTATATGTATATATATATATATATATATATATGTAACGTTTATGTACATTCATACATTCAAACATACATATACACACACCTATATATATATATATATATATATATATATATATGAATAAACACACACATACACACACACACGCACCTTTGCACAAACACATGCCTACCCGCATACAAGTGCACGCGGCCATACACACATACACACCGTATGTATCAATCGATGCATTCGTGCACCCTTCTGTCCCGCGGGGGCAGCGCCTCCCGATACAGCGGCGAGGGTGGATGGTTTCTGGCTAGAAGTTCGAAGCTCTCGGGCCCTCGGGGGCCCCCTTCGTCGCCGCGGCCAGACGCGGCTACGAATAATTACTGGTGCGCTTGGACCATCGGAGGGATCTGGGGGCCCATTTGGAGCGGATTTGGGCCCCTCCCCCTCCTCCTCCCCCGCCTCATCCCTTCCTCCTCCCCCCGTCCTCCCTCCCTCCTCGCTTCCTCATCCTTTCCTCCTCCACCGTCGCCCCAGGAAGGGGGGGGGGAGGAAGGGAGGAGGAAGGGAGGAAGGGGTGAGGAAGGGAGGAGGAAGGGAGGAGGGGGCCAGCAGGCGGGAGCCTGCGGGCCCACTCCTCGCCGCCGTCGCAGGGGGACGCGACGGCGGTCCCAGGAAGGACGCCGCAGGCACCGAGGCGCGCCTCGGATGGTTGCGTGGATGGTTATGGATGGTTAAGTGGGTGGTTGAGCGGATGGTTATGTATGGTTAGATGGATGGTTAGTGGGGTGGTTATGGATGGTTCGTTGGATTGTAAAGCGGATGGTTATGGATGGTTATGTGGATGGTTATTAGGATGGCTATTGATGGTTATTCAGATGGTCACCGGATGTTCTCCTTCAAGCGCTCGCCGAAACATATCCCCCGATGCTCTGGAGTCGAACGCAGAAGAAACTTCACTTCTCGTTCTTGCACTTGCGCACGAACTGTACAACGCCCTGCCATGCTGCCTTCGGGTCCTTGGCCCAGGAGAACAACTTATCTACCCTATGGCCAGCGGGCAGGCAGCGCCAAGCCTTCGCGTTGACGCACGTGTAAATGCGACAGCCGCGATACACCATCGGCCCTGGATTCGTCTCGGGCACGCCTGGGAACTCCA